CTTAACGTTATACAGTCTCCATTAGAACCTGTTACAGCTAAAAAGAAAACAATGAATCTTCACTGGAAACCAAGCACTTACTCTGGTGCCAGGACACATTACCTGTTGGGTGGTGACATCAGAACATCCTCCATCAGGAAGGACCCTCAAGTCCTGGATCTCCTTTGTCTCCTGTACTTCATCGAGGACCATTCATGGTACCAGAGACCCCTAAGCCTGCTATTCAACAGGACCCAGAACCTATTTAGTTATCGGCCAGTCCATTGGGCCATCCTAAGGATATCAGTCTAATAAAGTACAACAGACATAGGAAATGAATACAGTGTAACTAGTCTTGTGACTGGATGTTAGAGATGCCAGGAAAACACTGGAAATAGAGCTAAAGCAAGGGGGGGAGGGGATGGGGGGGCGAGTCTCCAAAATGCTGTTCCTGGAGTTTTTTTTTTTTAAAGAAAGAAGTACGGTATCACCTCTTTGAAAACTTGAGAATTTATGAAGTAAAAATGAAAATACACAGAAATACATCAGACAGAGTAAGATAAAGTAGACGATCAAGACTAGGGTGGAGAACAGGAAGCAGTTCAGGCAGGAGATGAGCTAAGAACAGCCAGTGGAGGGACAGTGACCGGATGATGAGAGGCAACAGGAGGCTCAGCAGCGCCCACTGGTCCAGGCCACTCCCATTTGACATTCTCCCCGTCCTAACACTGAAATAGACTCTGGCACAACTGTGGGCAGGGCATACTTGGCATTCACCCAGGTGCCACACCCCATCCCCAGGGTACTGACTGATCTCAGGCCTTGTCCACATAACACCCAGGGTGTCCAGTACCCTCTGAACTGTGACCTCAGACTTCCTCCTACATACACGGATGCCTGAAGAGACGCAGGGGGAGGCTGCACTCCAGGTCCTTTGCTGTAAGAGGAAATGGAACTTGACCCACACAGTGGATGGTTTGCATTTATAATTTTATTTTATTTTCCACACACTTTCTCAAGAGCTTTTACAACAAAGTACCCTTTTGAAAGAAAAGGTCCCATAATGAGATCTCCAGTGTTTCATCTTTTGTACCCAGATGTGACTTGCATCGTTTGCCTCCCTTTGAAGTACCCAGGAGCCCAGTGCAAAGCCCAGCCTGATATTTATTTTCATTGGTCTCACAGCAGGCTAACTTTCCCCAGTCTTTATCACCCGACCCAGAGACCAGAAACACGGGCAGCTCAGGTCTCCACACTTCAAATGTGCAGAGTTCTGCAAACTAAGGTTCCTACAGGGACCTACGGTAAAGATGGAGAATGGTTGGCAGGAAGCTGAGGATGGGAAACAACAGCCCTGGAACAACTGCTGTTTTGTCTGGGCTAGATCCCTTTTCATAATAAGAGCTGCCCCCCTCGGCATCACTGGTGTCTGCACTAAGTAGCACACCCTGCCTTCCTCACAGTGCATGCTTCTAGGCAGTGGCAGGTCTTGGGTGGGTGGAGGCTGGATGGTTTGTTTAAGAACCACTGAGCATACCCGGTCATGGCCACTCCTGAGGGCTCTGGTGAGCTGCTCCATGGTGTGCAGGGCTTATTTATCTCCTACCCAGACCACTCTGGCTGGCACCGACATCTTCTGTGTAGCCGACAGCATGAGCTCCACTGCCTGGATAATCTATTAATTCCCAGTACTGTTTTTTTTTATTATCTGTGATCCTCAAAAGAGTTCATGGGTGGGGTCGTTATTCTAAGAGCTGAAAAAGCAATCAAGGTTGTTAATCTCCTTTCTTTCTGATAAAATGTTCTTAGCTGCCACCTATCTAGAAATCTTAGATTTTGAAGCTCTGTGCTTTATCCCTTTCAAGGACTGACAACCTTCCTAGTGCTGCGACCTTTTAAGACAGTTCCTCATGTCATGGTGACTTCCAACTGTAAAATTATTTTTGTTGCTACTTCATAACTGTAATTTTGCTACTGCTATGAATCATAATGTAAATATCCGTGCTTTCTGATGGCCTTAGGCGACCCTGTGAAAGGGTAGCTCAACTCCCCCCTAAGGGTCATGACCCACAAGTTGAGAACCACTGACCTAGAGGCTCCATTTGGGATCTAATCTACATTTACTTACCAGGAGTGGGTAAGTTGGTTGTTTTGAGAGAGTCTTACTATATTGCTCAACTGGTTTGAACTCCCAATACTCCTAGTTTGACCCTGAGTAACTGGGACACTCAGTTAGGGTTGCCAGTTTTGATGACTCTTTGAAGCCAAAGCTTGAGGCCTGTCTATCCTTGTTTTCTTTGGAAGGTCGAGGGATCCCTAGAGAGCTGCTGGTCTTCAGTCTGTGTTAAAGGCCCAAAGAAATTGACTCTTATACTGGCTAAGTATGCTGCAGCAACAGGGTAGATGAACACACCATGGAGAGTGAGGGCAAACAGGCAAAAAGCAGTTTTCTTTTTCCCATTATCCCTTTATCTGAGCTTCCGCCAGAAGCCGCTGTTAACACTTAAGGTGGGTCTTTCTGCTCCAGATAATCTGGTCAAGAATCAATATATTTTGTTTTCTCTTGTTTGTTTGTTTGTTTTCCAAGACAGGTTTCTCTGTGTAACAGTCCTGGCTGTGCTAGAACTCACTCTGTAGACCAGGCTGACCTCCATATCATAGAGATTCACCTGCCTCTGTCTCCCCAGGGCTGGGATTAAAGGCATGCACCACCACCACCACCACTACCAGGCTAAGAGTCGATATATTTTAAAAAGCCTCAGAAACAAATGGGTTTAGGATTTAGGGATGAGCTCAGCATTTATCCCTCGCAGGAGTGTTATAGTTGATTCCAGAGGGAGTCAAGTGGACAACCAGGATTAGCCATCAGGGCAGGCCAGTCAACCCTCAGGAGAGCCTCTCCCACCCACACCACAGTCCCTTGGAAGGAACAGTAAGCAGCAGAACTGTGGTTTTCCACAAGCCCAAAAGACTGTTCTGTTAGTCGTCTTCCCGTAAAATAAAGCCATCATGAAGTCCTAGGTCCCATACCCAGCCCTGTGTAAAACTGGACATGTAAGTCTGCAATCCCAGCAGGATGCAGGTGGAGGCAGGAGGTTGGGAGTGTTAAGGGCATCTTCAGCAAGTTTGAGGCCGGCTGAGGTTATGTGAAGGCTGTGAAGGAGAGACACAGGGAAGGAGAGACGGGGAAAGAAAGAGCTCTGAGAAGGAATGGGTGGGAAAGAGGAGGGAAGAGAGGAGCCAGCGCTCCGTCCCTGCTGCTCTCCAGTGCATGCTGCTGCTCTCCAGTGCGCATGCACCCCGGTGTTCTGCAGACTTGTTTCACAAGTGCCTGGGAGGCTTCTGCTGTGTCTGCCCCTCTGAGCAATCTGCAGTTTGTTCTAAGGGAAGAATTCTAACTCTAAACCACTGTGACCATAGGCCTGTGACAAGTACACAGCAAAATTAAATTTAAAAAATCACAGTTTGAGGAATACAAGTTGGCAAACTGTAGGAAAAGCTTTAGAGATACATGCATTTTATGATCTGATTACATTTTAGGAGTCAGTATTTTCTAAAGTCTCAGAAGTAAGTGAAACCTGGAATTCAACACTTAAATATTAGTATGTATAAAACGCAAACATAACCAACAAAATGGAACCATTGGGAGTTATACCTTTAGTCACATAAGCAGTTTTAAGAAAATTTTCTAAAAACAATGGATGACAATGTCCATTGTAATCCAGGTAGACAAACTGTATGGTCACAATTCTATAAAGTACATTACTTTAGGCTGGAGAGACCCACAGAAATAGCTGACCTGAACAAGGGGGAGTTCATGGACCCCAGACTGATAGCTGGGAAACCAGCATAGGACCGATCCAGACCCCCTGAATGTGGGTGTCAGTTTGGAGGCCTGGGCAATCTATGGGGCTTCTGGCAGTGGATCAGTATTTATCCCTAGCATATGAATGGACTTTGGGAGCCCAATCCACATAGAGGGATACTCTCTCAGTCTAGACACATGGGAGAGGGTTTAGGCCCGCTCCAAATGATATGACAGACTTTGAAGATTCTCCATGAAAGGCCTCACCCCCCCCGTAGCAGAAAGGGGATGGGATAGGGGGCTGGTGGGGGGGGACGGGAGGGAAAGGAAACTGGGATTGACATGTAAAACAAGCTTATTTCTAATTTAAATTTAAAAAATAAAGTACATTACAATGCACACAAGAAGTAAACAGAAATAAAATATACCCAAAGGTTAGCAGAGTTGGCTGCTGAGTAGCACCACTGTGGATAATCTCACTTACTTGTATTTTCCACTTCTGTGTGGTGACTTTATGATAATTTTAATTCTTTAATTGAAAATTACAAAATATGTGTAAGATATTTTTAGGTAGTTTTTAAAGCCTGTGTGTCTCTCCCTAACTTTTTTACAAACTCTTTAGGGGGCAGGTTGCATCTTGGGTTTCTTCTCCCCTCTTTCTAAGCGTTCTCTATTTTATTAACAAGTCCTCTGTGGTATAACTGATAATCAGTTCCATCCCACTCTGAACCTATCCTATTTTCTACCAACTGCCACAGAAAACCCTCGCTGCCCCTCAAAACAAATGTTAGCTCTTGTTGTCAATACTACGTGTTGGACTTAACATTAACTACTTCATCACAATCTGGGACTGGTTTACTATCCTGTAGCTTTCTGTCCTGCTTGTGCTGGACTGGCAACCTGGCAACTAAGGCAGGCAGGTGGAGGCCGGTCGGATCAGGCCTGGGGAGCTTCTTCTTGGCGTGCTAGTTCTAAAGAATTAACCAGAATCCCCTTTCCGGGGCCGACCGCTGTGGGGAAGGCAAAAACATGAGCCCAGAGAATGCTTTGGAGCTTCCTTTGGAATGGTACCAGGTGGGGGCGTGGCGTGGGAGGGTCCTGATTGGAGGCGGGGCGCTAGAGGCGGGGCCCAGGGGCGGGGCCCTGGAGGCGGGGCTCGGGGGAGGCGTCCCATAGCTCCTCCCGCGCGCGGCCCCTGGAGTCCCCGAGGCGCGCGGCCAGCCCAGCTCCGGCCCGCCTCACACCGTGCAGCCGGGCGCCCTTAGCGAGCGCGGGCCCGGCGCCGGGCCCGGGCAGACGGCCGGGGGCGTCTCCGCCGAGACTCTTCTCTGTGGCCCCTGAGCGGCGAGGGCGAAGGCGAGGCTGAGTGGGACCGAAATCATGAACCGGAGTTTTCATAAGTCTCAGACCCTACGCTTCTACGACTGCAGCGCAGTGGAAGTCAAGAGCAAGGTAAGTATCCGAGGCCCACCGTGGCTGTGCGCACTCGTTCCCCTGGCAAATGAATGGGGCACCCCGCGGAGGGAAACTGGAGTGGTGTGGGAGGCGACCGGCGTCGACAACTTTGGAGCTTGGGCGCTGCATGCCTCTGCGCAGGGGTCCCTGGGATGTGCTCTCGGACCCCGGCGGTCCTCCCTGCGCTCTGTGCGAACACAAAGCCCGGCGGTCGAGGGCCATGGGACAGTCAGTGCAGGCTCTGAACCCGCTCCACGAGAGCTGCTCTTTTGTTCCACGAACTAGAGACGACCCGGGCGCGCCACACGTTGGAGGGGAGGGCTGTGTTTCCGGGGCGATCTAGGAGCTGAGGCTGCTGAGTTTCGGGTCGTGGAGGGGTCTTTTGGGGGGCCAGAACCAGGAGGGGGGCCTGGCTGCACCGCCTATTTGGCTGTAAGGAGCAGACTGGCGGTCGGTTCCCAAATCAGGGCCCTAGCCCAGCCCCCAGTTTGGCGCTGGGTACCAGACCCGGAGCCCCAGGCTCCTTCAATCCCCAGGCCCAGACCCCTTGATCATATACCTGGCCCAGGTCCAGTCTTCCTCGACCCAGCCCTGAGCACCCTCCCTATCCAGACATCTTTCCCAGACGCTCCCCGGGTTTAGATTCCCCCACGGCCCTGGGGTACCGGAACCCAGAAATTCCCAGGTGGGTGAGCCCCCGGACCAGACTGCAGTCCGCTGCGGGGCGCGACCCCAGCGCAGACTCAGACCCCCTGGGCGCGCCCGGGCCCCTCCCGCTGCTTGTGCCTAGGCAGAGCGTGCCCGAACTTGCGGGTCGCCTTGTGTCTGGATAATTGGCTGATAGGATCTGGCGCTTTTCCCCTCTGCGGGGGCGGCTCCTTCACTGTAGACGCTTTAGTCTGAGAGGGTCTACAGTGTGGACCCTGCGGGATGGAGATGGAGCTGCTGTTGCTCCAGGTCCAGTGGGAGAAGTCGAGCCTCTCACTGACTAGGAGATAAGTAGCCCAGTTGTCTTCTGTGTGAAGAAGGCGGAGCTGCGGAGCTGCGGGAATGGTCCAGGTCACCAAGGGTGAGTTCTCACCAGTGCTTCTTATAGGCCTGAGACCTGTGATCTATTCACCTGGTCTCCTGGGAGGTGGTGCCTCGACAGACTGAGCAGCCCCCAAAGAGTCCTTTGGTGTAAGAATTTTAGGTTGTCTGTTGAGACCCGGGGAAGGGGTGGTCCTCAGCAACAACAGCAGGGCACAGCCGCAGACCTACTTTGATGAAGTGTACGGTCTCCTCATTTGGGGGCCTCTCTTACTTATAATGAGACCCTATCCTGTTTCCAAATGCTGATTCCGTGGCCCTTGCTCCCCACCCATCCCTTCTGCTGCCCAGGAGTGCTTCCAAACTCCCAGATTCACAGAGCTGTGACGTTAGGGCCCTCCGTTCAGTGAGCCGTTGAGACGATTGCCCGTTTCTTCAGTACTGCAACATGGCAGCCACTTCATTCCCTGAAACTTTTCGGAGATGGTTGTACATTCACAAGCGGATGCCAGAGAGAATACCGAAATCTGAGGTCACTTGGCCCAGCATGTTATGACGCTGACCTCCTGTTTAGGGGGGTCTTACTAGGGTTTTGTGTGATCACTTGTGTGTGCATACAGGTATGTCCATGTGCAGGACCTCCAACACAGTGATGGTTCGGAGCCACCCATCCCAGGATTCTTCCTGACTACTGAGTGTGGACTAATTGGTACTAAAAGCTCAGTTCTGGTGCTGGGCAGCTGCGTATGGCACAGCACATTATCCAACTCCAAATGAGGCCGTGGGACAGGTCTGGAGGAAATGCCCTCCCCAGGCCTTATCCTGCAGTTCTGGGCTGTGGTCCATGCAGGCTGTTAGGGGAGGAGAGGCCACCTGCCTTAATTTCCTGGAGCGTTAGCTCAGCTGCCTCCTCCAGCTCCGCTTAGCAGACAAATGCCACTCCATGCCCCCTTGGCTTCCAGCTCAGATGCTGCCTCCAGGGGAATAAATGGCAAAGCTGAAGTTTGTTTGAACTTGGGAGACTTTGGAGGGCCCAGGCTGGGACGGCTGCCACACACTCGCCACCCCACAGCTTGGCATCCCCGTTGCTTGTCCAGAATGTCCTGTGTGGCCCTCTTCCTTCCATAGCCTCCCCTACTCCTCTCACGTTGTAGTTGATGTGTTACTGTGGAGTCCGTCTCTGCAGGGCAGGGCTTTTGTCACAGTGCTGGAGGCAGAACTTCATATCAGTGAGGACTTCGTCCAGCTTGAATGTAGAACTACAGGATCATGGTTTTGCTTGGTGACATGGCAGCCAGGGAGCCTGGAGCAAGCCATTTAGTTTCCCTGTGTGGGTCATTTCATCTGTAGCGTGGGTGCTGTATCAGAACCACTCGCCCCCGAGACGAAGTGAAGCAGTACCTGAGGGGCACACTGGAAACTGAGCACGCCCACAGTCGCAAGCATCCAGCACCACACCTCGAGGTCTTGTACCGTTGTAAGATGCCTGACCTGGAAACTGCTACACATCCTCCCAAAATTGTGACCCTTGGTTACCTGCCACAGCTGGCCACTTTGCAGAGGGCACAGGTTGTCGGCCTGGCGGCTGTCCCGTTTTATGTCCCCTTACACTTACTCCAGCTCCTCGCCTCTTCCTCTCCTGATCGTGTGCACTTCGGACTTCCTGCTTCTGCCTGCCCTTCTCTCTCCATTTTGACTTTTGCCTCTCCTCTTGTAAGACCTGCAGCCAGAAGGGAGAGACTGGAGATGCGTAGGAAAGGGTGTTTCAGACCGAAGGAAGAAGGGCAAACGCCTCTGCTGCTCTGAGGGCTAGCAAGAAGGCCCCTGCTGTCGGGGTGGGGTGGCAGGGTCAGAGGATGCCGTCTTCATCCATCGTGTCCTTGGTAAAGCCTTTGCCTCCTCCGTATCATCAGTGGCATTTCCATCTGCTTGGAAACCTGAAAGGAGAAACAGGTTCTCTTTCCCACCTCGGTAGTGTCTCCACTGCAGAGCTAAGGGAGTTATGCTTCCAGGTTCTCTTCCACACCGTGTGGTGTCAACCCACACCCTAAACAGGAGTCTGTCTTTTCCCCCCACCTGAGAGCCCGTCCTCTGCAAAGTCATTCTGAAGGTCCCCACACCAAACCAGGCTCACTCTGACCCCCTTTCTACTCCTTTTAAGGCAGCGATCACGATGCCCACTCTGTATTCTGTTTGGGACTGAAGGCTTCTGTCTTGTTCGTGCCTCTCTAAAGAAAGTTGAAGCTGGGAGACGGATAAATGCCATTGGTAATTATGTCCCCAGATGACCTTCTCTTAAATGTTGCCTCGTGGCCTTCTGATGGCACGTGTGTGTGCAAACGTCGCATTACGGTTTCTAGAATTAGGACCATAGAGACATATCATGTAGTCTATTTTCAGTCTGGCAATATGTTATAAATGTCTCTTCATTAGTATTTCTAGAAGACTTTTTAAAAAAAATGACTGCATAGTATTATTACATCTCATATCTAAACCACAATTAATTTAACCAATGTCTTGTTTGAGTGTCTGCCTGTTTTTCCCTCAGTTTTTCCCAAGCTGTGCTGTGAAGCATATTGAAGTATTTATATAAAGCTTAAATAGAATACACAACATAAGGCAAGTGAAAGCTATTGGTTTATTAAATCAGTACAGAACTCTGAGGCTACCTGAGAGAAAGATGAGCATATTTTTACAGCTTTGAGTACATAATTAGTAAATGTTTAGGCAGATGAGGTAGCCCAGTGGTGAAGGCACTTGCCAAGCAAGCCTAACCTCGATTCCCAGAATGCACATAAATCTGGAATCAGAGAACTGACTCCACACACACACACACCATGGCATGCACACCACATGCATTCTTACAAACACACACGTATCATGCACGTGCAGTAACTTTTTAAAATTAAATGTTCTGAGAAATCTCTTCACCTATTAGACACACACACGCACGCACGCACGCTGTTTTATCCTGTATCCCACCAGAGCAGGTGAGACTGATCTTCCAGGTTCTGAGTGGAGTTGGTGTCCTTTCTCAAGTATAGCATAGCACAGACATTAACCTGGGCCGCCTGGGAGGGCCTGTGTTTGAGTAGCACCCTCATGGCCCGGATGATCATATGCTGGCAAAGTTCTGCTGTGGACAGCTGGGCACACGGTTTTTTCTGTCAGCATGTCTCCTCTGATCCCCAAGATCTTATCTCTGGCTGAGCTTGTTGGCTGCCATGGCCCTGCAGGGACCCACCCTTCCATCTGGCATGAGGCAGCAGGTGGGATGGAACGTGGGCCAGGCCTCCCTGTTGCATGGCTGAGGACTCGCCTCCTGTGGGCCAGTTGAGAACTGCCTGGACACGGTTTGGCTCACCTGTGTGTCAGCTACACCCTTTGGAGATTCTGGTTTGTTGTATTTGCACATATGTGTTTCAACAGGTTCTGGGACTTGGTTTGAGAAGTTGCCTTCAGAAAAGGCTCTTGACAGGGACCCAGGTTGGATGTTAGCTTGGGGAGCATGGATGGTGTCGCAGCCTCCAGAATGTTCCCCACCTCTTCAGGGTGTATGGCCAGAGGCAATTAAATCTTGCTGAGGAGTCAAGTCATTGCCTGGGCCCTGGGTGCTCCAGATACCGGGCTGTGGTTCTTCAAAGTTTAGAGAAGGGAAGGGTGTCAGAAATTGGGAGATGGAACCTTTCAGGGTCTCGGAAGCTCTGGCATTTGTGAAGTACGTCTAGATTGGCATAGGGCGGTGCAGCACCCTGGCTTAAAACGCTGGTCCTTCATGGGCACCATTACGGGACAGCAGCGGAGCACACAGACAGGTTCGTCCAGCTGACTCTATGACAAACCCACATGCCTGCTACCTCCCCACTCCTTTTCATCTGTAAATTAGGGACCCAAGGAGCATTGTTACACTCATTTGTAGCCCCTCAACTTCTAAGCCCTGCTCCAAGGCTAAACTGAACACACTGGGG